TTGGCGTGGTACAGGTTAACTAAGAGTGACTCTCTCCCTTCAGATCCTGGTGTGGGATTGAGGAACAGAAGCCATGCGGTTGTAATCCCGAGCGGTACTAACCCAGGGCCAGTGGGGCAGAGGGTAAGGAGAACGAATGAACTGCTCGATTTTAATTCTGGGTGAGGAGAGGAAGGAGGCATATGCAAAAGAAACGCCCATTTCTCTCCGTGGAGCAAAGAGGAGTATTTGGAGCGACTGTTTCTATAAGGGCCTGGGTAAGAGGAGAAAGAAAATTAAGGGGAGAACATCCCACCAGACAGGAGCTTGGGCGGCTGAAGCGCTGTGCTTCTCAGAGGGCAGGGAGTTGCTAAAGAGCCAGATCAGCCAAGAAAGCAGCAGAGATGACGGGGGAGAGGGGCTGTTCATGTTTTGTAAAAGCATGACTCAGAGTTATATGTGGTAGAGGAGAACCCCGACTCAATAAAAGAGATTCTGGAATTTACTAGTTACAGAGTAAACCTTACAATTGATTGTTAGTCTGATTTTCAGGATTGGAAAGTGATTGATGATAGTGTAGATGGAAAAAGTGTCTTGAAATACTGTTCGAGAGTTATTTTTAATGTAGGGTAGAGTCTCGGCCTTAAAATAGTCTGTATCAATACGATCTTTCAGCCCTGACTTCAAAGTTGTAGCTGCTACAGTAAAATAAGGCTGACACTTTTTTTTTTTTAAACAGTATATTATGTATTGATATTGAACATGTTGGGGTTTTTTAACATTTTCATGTGTACAGCTGAACACAGTTGCTTCCTAAAGTGGTGGTAGTAACAGTGAGAACGAGGCTGGCTTTTAGTGCTGCAAAGCAGCAGAATTAAACCAAATACGTGAAATAAACAATCCAGTATCTTTATGTTGGATCTTAAAGTTAGACTACTTATTTTCCCAGGAGATGTTGCTGTACTTAGTGGCAATTAATTACAGGAGGGGTTTAAGGGATATGAGGTGACTCAGATATGAAAAAAGAAGAATTAGCTCTTTTTTCTCAGTCCTTGGCCTCTGAAGCAAGGTGTCAGACTTGGAGTGGTTCACTGTGATGTTGTGGTGATTTAATTAGTCACAGTTACTGGCATAAAAAGATTACATAAGAACGTCCCCTTTCAAACTTCATTTTTACTTTTCATTAGTTAACGTGGTAGAGTCAAAAGCTTGAAAACGTGAATCAAAAAGCACTTGGAAGCCTAAAAAAGGGGATTTAGATGGATATAACCAAGATCTGCTATCTAAAAGACTGCAAGTTATAAAATGATCTCATGAATTTGTGTAACTCCACGATCTGTGAGTGCTCAGGGTTTACATGCTGAACATGCTGATGTAGGGGAAGCTGAGTTCTTCATTAGATGTGTACTTCATCTTGCTAAAATAATTTAAGAATGTTAATACTTTTGTTATCAATAACTTCTACACCTTTACATGTAGAAAGTGCCAGAGCATTTTGTTTAAAGTACCCTGTATATACAATGGCAAAAAATGCTACAAGTAATTTTGCTCACTGGTGGTAGATGAGTTTTAAATAACTCCACTTTGAAAAGTTGCAAGCTGCTGTTGTAGCTACAGGCTAATAGCTTTTTATTTTTTAATGCTACAAAGCTATTAAAATTTATGGATAGGTAAAAGCTGCAGGAAGTATTTCCTGTGCTTGAAAATAGGCATTTTGAGTAGTTAGCGTAAATGTATTCCACATCTAAGCATCCTAATTTATGAAAGCTCTGCCTCCCATTTGTATGAGATTACAAACAGGACACATTACTAAGTGACCAGCCAGTGCAGCTGTTGGCAAAACCCTGGAGAGGGTAGGCCTGATCACTTAAACAAGCTGGATCGTTGCCATTTCAGAGGATTCAAAATGAGAAACAACAACATCGTGAAAATGAATTACATGATTTGAAAGGATGCAGGCAAAGAGATTTAAATGGAAGAAAAGTATTAAGAATGCTTTAAAGAAGGAATGGACTGCATTGTAGAAATAATATGATAATTTGATAAGTGACAACGATATGATAGAGAATTATGCTAATCCATTTTAGGAAGAACAAAGGCAGATTTACAGACAGTGAGAAATATCTCTCGACTTGCTATGAGCCTGTTCCTACGCTTGAGAGGTGAAGGATATTTCTGATTCTGTTTGAATATTGTGCATCAGTCTATTCTTCCCTGTTGTAGCTCCTCCCTTTGAGTGTACAGTTCTGGGGCTTCACCCCACATTTCCTCTGCAGTGCCTGGTCATGGTTTAACCCCAGCCAGCAACTCGGCATGACAGAGCCGCTCGCTCACCTCCTCCCTCCCTCAGTGGGATGGTGAGGAAAATTGGAAAAGACAAGGAAACTCATGGGTTGAGAGAAGAACAATATAATAATTGAAAAGAAATTAAATAAAATAATGATGCTAATAGTAACAATACCAATAATACTACTAATATTGATATTACTACTAATAATAGGGAAATAATATGACCACTACTATTACTAATGTGTAGTGAAAATAATGGAAAAGAAAACAAATTATACAACCACTCACACCTGCTGACCAATGCCCAGCCCTTCCTCGAGTAGTGAGAGAAAGAGAGCCACTCCCCCAACGTATATACTGAGCATGATGTTTTATGGTATGAAACATCCCTTTGGTCAGTTTGGGTCAGCTGTCCTGGCTGTGTCACCTCCCAGCTTCTTGTAGAGAAGCAGCTGGGAACACAGGGGCAGTATCAGAAACTGAAATGGTCCTTGACTTGCTATCAACATTGCTCGGCGACAACATCAGCATGTTGTCAATACTCTTCTCAGCACAACCAAAACGCAGCCTCGTGCTAGCTGCTGTGAGGAGAATGAACTCTGTCCCAGCTAAAGCCAGCACATGTGTGTAAGTGTCTGCTTAACTGTTCAGAGATGTAAGAATTAGGGAGGATATAGGGAAGGACGAGGGATGTATATGTTTTTAAACTGACCTGTAAACAAACAGTTTTATTTAATATTTATAAAATTTTCCAACCAATCGAAAGGGAATGCAGTGTTTGTCTGATCTTTCAATCAAAATGACTCTTGAAGCATTGAGAATCACAGATATGCTGTCTGGGAGGGACTTGTGAGGGGCATCTAGTCAAAGCTCCTGCTGGGAGCAGGACTGTCGCCAGCAGCGGGCTAGGCCAGCCCCAGGTGCAGACCTTTGTACTTGCTTTACGTTCACGAGGTTCCCGTTTCCCAGTCCTTCCTTCTCCCTTTCTTAGGGTTCATTTGAAGTGAGACCCTATCATTCAGCATGCCAGCCGTCCCTCTAATTTAGTAGGGTACATTCTGTCTCCTCAAGTTACTGAGTGGTTGGCTGGGGACTTTCTGATTGCGGTTCTTCACAGGGGATAGACAGTTGCCTCACGAGCCTGTCAGCTGTGTCTGTTAGCAACCTTGAGCGTGTCCCATCTGGCTCTGTGCCTTCGACTACATCCAGCTGCTTTAAGCAGTTGCTGGCCTCACTCCTACTTATCCCTCTCCTTCCTGATCGCTACTGGTACAAGCAGAGGTCTGGGTGCAGGCTTTGCCTGTGAAGACGGAGGCAAAAAAGAGCGTTGAGTCCTTCAACCTTTTCCATATCGTCTGTGACAAGGTTGTTCTGCCCTTCAGCAGGTGGATGTGCATTTTCACTTCTTTATGGCGCTTCTGTGCTTTGAAGATTCCTTATTGATACCCTGTATGTCTGTCGCTAGTTGCGGCTCCGGCTGAGCTTTGGCCTTTCTAATGTAGTGGAAATAAAGGGTAAAAACAAGCCATGTCAAACAGTGGGTATTTTATTTAACGCATATTAATGTGGGTTTTTCAGGAGCTGGTGATTCTGAAGACGGCCCAGTCGTCATGGCTCATGCTGCTGTTTATGTGGGTTTTCCTGTTCCTCAGTTACTGGGAGGTGCTAGCAGAATTTTTCGCACTCATTCTGCACTGGTGCTGTTGAGGCACTCTGCTTTTTGTTACTGCACAGTGAACGGGTAGGTTATCCACATACTAAAACTTCTTTTTCTTTTTAAAGGGAACGTCATGGTAACACTGCCAAACTGAAGCTGACAGATTATACTTAACTCCCAATTAGATATTTATATTTAATTCTCATTTAGACTTAATGTCATCTGAGGTCTGCATTACACTGGTAAATTGTGGTACTAGAAGTTCATGTCAGTAAAGGACAGTAGCACAGCTGTCAAAATGCCAGTTATCTTTGCTTTTTGTTGCAGCACAATAAAATCAAAAAGGAAAATGGATCATCTAGAGAGGACAGCAAATAATTTTCGCCAGGAAGTAAGTATTCTGTTCTTTAGGGTGTAAGTAATTGGATAATTTTATTTGATTCATAGGCCTAATTTTGTCTTCTACTGGAGTCTGTTTTACTTCCTTTTCTCCTCATTCTTTGTATTTGATATTGTTGTAAAACAAGTGCGTTTTGTGGTCAGTGAATGAAATGTAACAAGTTAGGAAAATTGTCAGTGACGGGATGCTGCTTACGTAGCACAAGAAATTTAATAGAATGCTGGTCAAGGACGGATTATGGTAACTAATGAAAGCACACCAGTACCCATCATCTACACCAGCTTCTCAGATTTGTATGGATTTCTACAATTCTGGTAGAAAGATTTCAGTAAGTGTGGAAAATGTCCTTGTATAACATAGGAGGTAAGATAAAAAGTGTAGACACTTCAGAAAGGTGATGGACAGTTGTAAAAGGGATCTAAGTTTGTACCTATTTCACAAGTACGAGGAAGACAGAGCATTGTTCTCCATCGAAATCCAGAAATGGTTATTCTGGATCTCAGTTTTGTGCAGTAAGCATTCCTTTTGAGGTGAACATACTCTTGTGTTTCGTGTGGGTATTTCCTTTCTGTAATTAGCTGAAGTAGATGTTTTGAAATTTTTTAATGCTGGGAGAATATGACTTCAGTTCTCAAAAATGTTTCACCAGGGGAACAATTCTGCATTTTTCTTAGACTTTTCATGAGAAGAAGGTCACTTTTTTGGACTGAAAAGTCCTGTCTAATTCCCAGGAGCTGGGAAAGATTGAACAACTTTTCTCCATCATTTAGTCAACTTCTCTTAGTCTGAGTAGCTGTTCCTGACAGGATAGTCCTGCATATGTCACCCAGCAGGACGAAGTATGTTCTCAAACGCTGTGCAGTTTGTGCACACGGGTACATAACTAAGACCTCCGCTGCTGCATTCTTTCCTAACTATGAGTAGAGTTGAGAGTCAGTCACAGGTGAAGTGAATTCTTCTCGGAAGGAAGGTGGGTGGAGGGGATGTATAGGTTACCCCCAGATCTGGAGGTGAAGCACCTGCGACACAGACTGTGGATGGATGAGGGAAACGCAGCCTTGTTCTGCCCGGTGTCGGAGCTGCCAGTCGAGCTGTACCTCGGCTGCTCACACCTAACGCCAGCGCTTCCCTGGCTATGGGTTAGCACTGCCCGTGGACATACAGCTTCCCAGGTGGGTCCGACTTAGGCCCAGTTAACTCAGTACATGGACAGAAGGAGGGTAGAGACAGGTACAGGCAGATGCACATTCTTTTTTGCTTCTGACGTGACAAAAAGCATTGCAGTTTTGAGTTTTGCAACCCTGGTTTTTTTAATCTTGGATATTTCTGGTTGCTTGGCCTGCTTGCTTTTCCTGCTCAATGTAAGTGTTGGGTAGCTGGAAAATAGGCAGAACGTGGATCCTTATGAGCTGTTGGAAGCTCTGGAGTGGTACAGGGAACTGTGTAAGGTCTGAGGAAGAGCAAGATGTTGTATAGGATAGGTGAAAGAGCAGGGCTTAGTTGTGCTACTGCAGATTCTCTGCATATCAGAGGATTTTGTTGTTTCTTCTTTTAATGCTTGATTTATTATTTGTTACTGCATTTTGACCACTTCAGAATCAATTTATTTTAACTTCTCTGCTTGGTTTTAAATTCTGTATAATCAGCAGTTGGCTTCCCTCAGTCTGTATTGCCTTGTTTGGCCATTTCAGTCCTGTGGAAAGATGAAGGAATCCTAGGTCTGTGTTGTGTTAGCGTGCATGCTACATGATGTTGCCTGTTGAAGAGTGGTTACAGGAAAGACCGGGGCAAGAGAAAGTGCCTAACGCTTTCTTGAAATACAACAGCGAAGTCTGGAGCCCTGTGTCCTCCTCCCTCTCGCTGCCGTCTTGCTCTAGGTCAGTCAGATACTCTTGCGGTGGTCCACAATACTGGTAGGAGTGTCTTTTATCACCCTGACTCAGTTTTTGTAATACCTTTATACTGGTTAAGAATTAAATTTCCAGTGCTCTTTCAGATGTATCAGCCAAAGAACAAACAGGGAACGTCCTGAGGAGTAAAGAGGGGATGAAGAAGATCCAAACTTAATGTCCATTTCCTGCTCTTGAGGTTTCTCCGTCAGAACAGCCGTTTAAGTCATGTGTCTGACATTTCTCTTACTAATTTGGAGTGATTGCATTCCCCACTTAACACTCTCTGCTAAAGTGGAAAAGACATGTACGCTACTTTATTTAAATTGGCAAATGTCCTGCTGTTTAATGGGACAGTGGACGTGTTCAGATGTTGCTTTATGAATAAATTAATTTCCTGCCATGTGTTTTACATTAGGGCAGAGTTGCTGAAAGTTTAAATTTTTCTTTGATCTGTTTGATGTTAGACAAATGAGAAATGGTAGAGTTGTGGCGGTATTACTAGTATTTCCTAGCGTGGTAAATGACATCAGCATTTTTTAACAGAGTAAAATCTGTATACTGGCCCATGTAGAAAATCTTTAGGGCATTAGTTTTGTTACAGAGGAAAAAAGGTTCATAATTACAACTCAAAAATACCTGAAGAGGAAGGGCAGGAGATGACAATCCATGTCGTACCATGGGCATCAAATAGTTTAAGTGGGGAGCTCCTCCCCAGTGGTCCTGTTGCAAAATCTGCTTTTTGTTGAGAGAAGCATTATTTTTCTTTCTTTTTTTTTAATCTCTTTAAAAGCGGTATCAACCATGGCTCTTGCATCCCGTCCCATCCCAGCTGGCTGCCAAACAAAACCTCTTCCTGTTAAAACAAGCCTTGTGCTGCAGTTTCCCTGCGTCCACAGATGACACGTAGTCCAGTGGGTGTGTGTCTAAAACCAGTAACCCACGGCTCGTGGGTTTTCTTTCATTAATGCGTCATCTTTCAGCAACGCATTTAATTGCTTAAATAAAACGAGACCCAGATCCAGAATTCTCCCTGGGACTTCAGTAGGAGCTAATCTTTGGTGTTTCCTTTGTCAGTCTTGATATGGGAGATCTTTGTACTGTGTTGCTGGAAAGAGACAGGCACAGTGAACCGTAGGTAGAAAGGCATTGTCTCCGTTCCGTGGCTCTGTAGGTGAATCCATCCTTGTTTCTCTACCCCAGTGGGAAAAGATACTGTGCTTTAGGGAACGAAATGCCCCGGGTACCTCTGGCTTCACACGTTACCTCGTACACCAGCTCTGGAGTTCTGCCACTGTGGATGATGTCTGCGTTAACGCCATGGCTTATGTTCCTTTTGTTAGGTAATTTCACAAGCCAAAGTGTGTGGAATCGCCCATGAATCGGAGACGGTCAGAAGGCTTCGTCTGGCTATCACAAATAAAGACTTTACTTTCAAAGCAGGACAGTGGTAAGGTCTTCGATATTTGAGGGGAAAATTACTAGCAGTAGTTGGCTCTGACAAAATGTTAAAAGGCCTCTGACACTTGAGCCTGGGAAAAAAATCATTAATGTATATAAACCGATGTTTTATTGTTGAGTGCTCTGTGAAATAGCTGGCATTTGGCATAAATCTGAAATAGCCAATATTGAATATGCTAATATTAATTTGAAAAGGGAAACAATGGATATTTTTCAAATGCTCAGTTTGATTGTTTGGCTGTTTGCCTCTGGTTTCTGTATATTACACTGTGTCTTTGAGAGTACGCTGCAGGTTGTTCTGCAGGCTGTCCTTGCTGTTTGCATCTACTGGTTACTCGTACAGTGGAGCCGAGACTGCTGCGCATTTGCAAGTTACTTAACTTTGGTTCATAATTAAATCAGAATTGCCCGTTTACTTTATTTCTTCCCCTAGAAGTTTCCACTTTGAAAGTTGAGCCCGTTAGGTGAGATTAATACATAAACATAGGTAGGTAAACTTGAAAATAAAGAAAACTCGAGTTGTTAAGCCTTCAAAATAATTAGCTGTCTAAGCAACTTTACAGCCTGCTTTTTTTTTCCCCCCCAGGGAAATAGTGGATTTTCATGATTGTCTTCCTTCCTTGTTAAAAATAATCCCAATCACTTTTTTTTTTTCCCCTCTCTCAAAAATTGATTCAGAACTATGAGTAGTTGCTTTTGGCATTGGTCATTGAACTGTTCTTCAACTTTTTTATTGGCTTAGGCCATCTGAAAGTGGTTTTGCTGGAATCAAAGCATAGCTGCTAGGGTATTAACAGCATATGGTACTCGTGTAGTGTTAATATGCTGGCTTTTAAATTTAGAACCAGAACACAAGATGCTGATTGCAATAATTTGTTTGTGGAGTAATTTGCTGCAGTTTTTGCACATGTGCAGTGACTCATGTTAAATTCTTGCTTGCCAGTACTTGGAAAGTGCATTTACCCTCCAAAAATGTTTTGGAAATTATCACGCTGAAAACTGAAAGCTTTAATTATAATTATTTTTTTTCATTTTCTTCTTCCTTGAAAGTGTTCTAATGCTATTGTAAGGGGCAGAGCAACTTTTCTATACTCGTAGCTGTAAACTGCTGTTGCGTTTTTTTTGATGAGCAGTACAAAACACCAGGCCACAATTTCCTTCGTAGAAAAGGCTAACTTGTTAGAATTTGCTCTAGGAAGATGTTGCAGCCAAAGATTGTCACTGAAGTGTATATATGGTTTTGAAAGCGTTCTAATTGTCAACTTTTTCAGAAGCAAACGCGAGTTTGATGTGCAGGCATGCTGGCAGACACTGGTCTTTATCTGCCTTCCAAGTACGAATGAAAGGATGTGTTGCTGTTCTGCGTTTTGATATACTAAAACATGTGTATATGCATGTTATAAACACTTTGAAGAAGTAGCTTTATGGTTTTAATCTTTCTGGTCTCTTCCTCCAGCAACGGCTAACGGTTGTTCTCTTAAAGATTTGGCTTAGGTAGCCTTTAAAAGGCGGGCAGTGACAAAGCACTGTACCATGTCTGCTTTACATCTTTTTGCCCCTTTCCTTGTCGCGGGTTTGTATGCAGGTGGTTTTCTTTTTTCCCCTCTGACTACTCGTTCCACTCAAGCTGTCACACAGGTAGCATTTCAAGGAGTCCTCTTATCCTTCCTACACACAGCTCAGATGGGACAAACCGTCAGAGATACGAGCTGGTTCGCCATAATACAGTGCACTCGGCACTGGAGTCTTTCACAGTCGTGTAACCGAGAAAGAAATCCTAATAGAGAAAGAAACGTGTGCCTACATTAGCACTGTAGAATGGTTGAGAACCACATTTGATTTAGCTTTTCCGGCGACGTTTGGGTTTATATGTCTGTATTCCCACCAGGCTGGAAGAATGTTTCCCTTATATGTCAAGCAGAACATTTTGACTTGAATGTAAATTGTTGCTTTACAGGATAAGTTCTTTTTTCTTTTGTTTTTGGTTTTGTTTTCGTTTGTGGTTTTGTTAGTGTAAGTAGTAGGATTGTTTTCCACCAGAGGGTGCTAAAGAGCTTTAGCAGCACCCTGAGGTGTCTGCCACGAGTCCGTTCTAGTCTTAGATCCTTACTGCCAGGAGGGCTGAGCCCCACGGTCAGTGGGGCTGCAGAAGCTGCAGACAGTGAAATGAACCTGCTCAATGGTTGTTGACCTTTCATTTGCAGTCAGGTACCCTTACACACCATCAGGTTGATTAGCAAAAAGTTTAAAATTCCATCGCTGTAGTATTGTGTATGTCACGCTTTGTGCGCGTCCTTTGAGAGAAGGAGAGGGTGTTTTCCGTCAGAGGGTGAAGCTCTGTGGGGAGCGAAGTTCTTTGCAGAGTAGTGAACTACTCAAAGTGCTTCTCTCCTCCCTGGAGTATTTGGGATCTCCGTGAAGAATACAGCCTCGCTGTTTAAAGAGAGTGTCTGTGCAGCGGGAGGCAGTCGGTATTCCTCGCTGCAGTCTCATTTAACTAATACTGAGCCAGCCTAACTCCGGCTCGAATTGAATAACGCCTCTCCAGTACTTGGCATGGCTCACCAATGTGTTTTTTTCCCTCAGTGGAGCAGCACAATCAGTTTTAAACGTGCAGGGATTTTGTTACGTGCTGTAGAAAAGCAAAGTATTTAAAGATTCGTGCAACATGGGAGTTTAAATGTTAGCTCATGAACCAACTTTTCTGGTACCACGTGGAATACCGAAGCCTTGCTTTCCTGAAAACGAATTACAGCTCCGGTAGTAATGGCTTGCCTGGCGTTCTCTGCTGGCGTCGCACAGCCTTAGCCCTGCCTTACCTTCGAATCCGCAGAAACCTCTGCGTGGTTTACCTGAACTTCAACAAGAAAGAGAGCAGTAGTAGTTCATTCCAGCTCAATTTTCTACCAGCTAGAAAAAGATACCTGCCACCAGAGGGCCATGCGGTTCGGTAGGTAAAGCAATTCTGCTTCAGGTAGCTGGTTTTGCAGGTAAGAAATTTTGTACAGACTGCCGTTTTACTTCAGGTATTTCATCTTCCCTAGAAAAGAAAGTGCTTAATTGAAAGTCAGTTCCCTAAAATTAATTTCTCAATCTTCTTATATTCAAAAATTGAAAAGCCTGTCAAAGGTACTGAAGAGAGTGGGATTTAAGTCACTCTATCAGACCATATTGTGTTTTTGTTTTAATATGCAAATAATTTATTTAAACACTTAGAATTCTAGTCTGTTGTAAGATGTGTCATCTAATGCTAAAAGCAGAACGGTTTAAAAACCTGCTGGTTTAACAAAGGGATGACATGTTTCTAGATGAAAATAATTCCAAGGAAATGGTGTGACTCAAGATTAAGCCCTTTTTTGGGAAAGTTGTGTTACGGAGCTGAAGATGCCTTTGGAAAGGAAGGGCAGTTAAAACAAAGGCAGCCATTTTGGTTCGGTGGTTGTTTTCCATGTTTGGGGTTGTTGGCTTTTTTGTTTGAACTGTTGTTTCTGGTCTATTTTTAGGGTTGATTTCTTTATTCCTGGAGTCTCTGTAGTTGGGGGATTCTCAATATGTTCAAGCCCTGGCCTGTTGAAACGAGAAGGAATATTAGAGCTGGCAGTAAAACGCGCTGCTCATCCTCCTGCGCACTGGATTCACACTGAGGTGAATGAGAATAACTCTGAGATTTGGTGCTTGTTTTGGGGGGTGGGGTGGGGTTGAAGTGGGTGGGGTGTGGGATTTCAGATCACTTTTTGCTACTGACTGCAAAAATCCTGTTGACTTGTTCCACCATTTTTAATACAACATAAAACTTAAACCTTTTGTTCGGTAAGGGAGTGAAATTGGATGTTGGTGGTAAAATGGTTACTGTGATCTTTTGATCCGCTGGTGCTGGGTGGATTTAGAGTGATGCTGTAGTTAGTGTGCATAAGGGTTCCCGCCCCTTGGGGGTTTCTGAACTGAAAAGTGTTTAAACCCCTCTGTTGTAACTTGTGTCCCGCCCGGAGAACAGGCTGTGTCACACGTGACCGCGTCGCACCTCGTAACTTGCCCTCACTCCGGCTGTTTCAGCAGGTAGAAACTGAGAGAGAGTTGTCAGATAAGGAGATTACTAAGGAGGAGAAAAGGCAGACATAGAGATCAGTTTTTCTGAAACGATAAAACAACAGAATACTTAAGAATTTCTATAGTATTCTTTCTGCTGCTGATCACAGTTAATAGATGGCCCGTTCCATCAGCTTTTGGGTTTTTTCACAAGCCCCTGTGAAACTCTCTCCTACTTGCTGTTCTCTGCCTGGCATTTGGGTTTGTTCAGCGTGGCTGCAAGGTTCTGCTCGCCTTACCAGTACCCCAGGTTTCGTTCAGCGGGCAGCGGAGTTACGCTGAAGATGGATGCGTGCGTACTGGAGTTGAGACTCTCCCAAGCGATGCTCGCCTGGTAGTCAGCACGTGACCGTCCACCGCGTTTAACTGGTGTCATGGCAAGCTGCCTGCACTGGGACATAAATGAAACGCCCTTTCTGAGGTGCGATGTAGAACTTGTAGTGTCCGCGCCAGTGGATCACGTGATACCCAAGAGGATTGCCCAGGTTTCGGTATCGCTCGTCGGAGAACACGAAGGCCTAATTACTCAGGGTAAAAGATGTTATGGGAGTAGTTAGTACTCATTTCCTCACTGTTTTTTCCAGAGCTATTGATTTTTATTCTTTAATATTACCATATATAAAAGCATAAAATTCAGCCCAGTGTACTTTACAGCTTGGGAAAGTACAGCCTTTTACTTAGAGAAATGTACCTGCCTTGATTGCTTCGCTTCTCTAAGCCATTCCAGTGCAGCCTTTACAAACGAAGCTAAAGGACGCTTTCTCACCGTCTTACTCCAGAATTTACTGGGTTATTTTTAAAACTGACTTGCTGTTATCACTGCCGTGACTAGCGCACTGAAATATGTGGGAGGCTGTGGATCGAGAGGGATTCTTCCTCTGTCCCATCTTGATGTCTAATCTGCCTACTTAACCAGATACAGCTCAAGAATGAGATTCTTTCTCCCTAAACCCACTTAATTCCACAAGGGATACCATACTCTGTGTCCTCCCTCTGCCACATGAATCCGGAACGCTTCTGGATCCTGAAACAAAGGAAAACATGGTGGGAAAGCCTGGCAGTGTGCATTGAAACTAATTTTTCTCTCCCTTTTCAGATAATAAATGCTGATTGTCTCACACTGTAACTGAGATGATAATTTATGCAATAATCAAGAAAGGCAAAACCCTTTAATGCTCATGCTCTCTGCTGTAGGAACCTCTGTGCTCGTGCAGTACCTGCGTCAAAGGGCCCCCTTCCTCCTACTCCTGCCATTGTTACATGCCGACACCGACGCTTCTTGACACGGAGGTGTCATTAATGGAAAGCCTTTCCTTGCAGTTACTGATTTCTGATGGTAAAAGGGATTTTTGGAGGAAGTGTTTTTATTCTGTAAATTTTTAACTGTTCATTTTTTCAGGAGTGCTTGTAGTTTGCTTTTTTTTCTTTCCCACCGTCCTCTGCTTCCTTCTCCTCTTTATTTCATTTTTTAAACCCTGTATGTGGTCTGAAATGGGTTGTTCTCTGCTCCTATTCGTTCGGTTCGCTTACAGGGATGGGGGAGCGCTCGCCTGCCTTCTCTGCGGCAGTTTTACCCTTGTACCAGGGTGCAGGCCGGCCAAGGACACGACGTTTTTTTTGTTGCAGCTTTAGTTTTCCATGTGTCAGAAAGAACATGCTTTGGCCAATTCCTGTAGGAAGTCAATGTACAAGTGGAGAGGAGGGGAGAAGGGTTTTTTTTCCCCGACTTTTCTTCTTCTGCAGCACTGAAGGTCCAAATGCAGAAGTGGTTCTTATGGATACCTGCTTCACTTCTGGGTGGTTTATATTTTTTAGGGATGGGGGTGGAAAAACCTTCTGCGTCTGTGCAACTCATTTGGGCTTCCTTCCCTGTCCTCATAGCGAGGCCGCCTTTGACACGACTGGGGTTGGGCAGAAGTGCCATCCCACATGTTAACCTCGGGTTTCGCAGCCACGTACTGTTGAAAAACCCGTGCATGAACCGAAATCTCCGGGGGCGGGAAGGGGAGTCACCATCCTGCCTTTTTAGAAGACTGAAACTTCTGAAAGTAGAACTAGATCCCTAGAGACGCCAAAAGAGTTCAGATAGCTGGAAACTGCCTTTTATTTTAAGGTGCTTCAGTTTTTCTTCACTGGTCAGTGAAAATTAAAAAATCACAGCCCTCAAGTCTTGTGACTGTGATGCAAGAAGAATAATATTTCAACTTTTGGTTTTGAAATTAAATGTCTTCTTTTCCGTCCTAGTGTGCTCTTGGCTCAGAAGTGGCTCTGCGAGTGGGAGGTGATTTCTTCTTTGATCCTCAGCCTGGTGACTCCCCTGTAAAACTAGTGCTGATAGCAGGGGGTGTTGGAATTAACCCGTTGTTTTCTATACTGCTGCATATAGCAGATCTTCATGGATACCGTGAGGGTAAAGGAAATGGATACGAAATGGGAACAGTGAAGCTGTACTACAGTGTGAAAAATACAGGCGAACTCTTATTTAAGGTAAACAAAAAGTCCTCAGCTATTAGTGTGTGTATCGTTCTCTCACATCGCACCTGTGTTGTGCTAATTATGCCAGAGTACGAATTAAGGAGGTTATTGGACATACCTGGTCTCGTTGACTTCACTGATGAGTCAGTTAACTCGGAATGCCTATACTTAACCGCACAGGAGTATCACAGTATACCGTAACGTATATACGTACATACACACACCAGCAGCATACATGGTGCTGTGTGCTGTCCTACTGTAACCACATCATCTCAGCACAGACCGTATCGAGCGTAAAGACTGGCAAGAGCGATTGCATCCGCGGGAACAACACGGGAACTGCAGTGATAAGGCATTGGTCGCTATTGGGTGCTTTGGCATTAGAGCTTCTGGGCCAGAAGAGTGCATGATGCCACGTTGCAGTGCTGAAATAGAGCTTTCCCTTCATTCTTCCTCAAATCCAGAACACGGATATGAGAATTCTTTACTTCTGTGCAGAGGGTTGAGGAAACGAGGTCACTGGAGTCTTTATGCTGATGTGAGAGACATCTGTGCAGATCTCCCCAGGGAACTAACTCCCTGGGTGTCGCTGGCGTTTTGGAAGACCTGTTCCCTGAAGCAGCAGCCACATATCGTGTTGCCCTTTGTCTCAGTCAGCCTAGTGTAATTGGACTGCTAATCATTGTGGCTGTGCTCTGGCCGCACAGGCAAAGGCGCTGCTGTTGCAAATCCCGTTATGTGAAACGGTAGCGTTAGGGTGACAGGATCACCTGCTACCTTTGCTATGGCAGGATGCCGGTTAGCGGTGCTTCGTCATTCCACGAGGCCCGAATGGGAACCGCGTTTCCTCACTGGCTGGTTCGGTGGGCACAGGTCTTCTCCCTTAGGTCCATGGCTCAGCTATCTGCTCCAGTTTGCGCTGCCTGACGAGGCCACAGAGAACCCGCTGAGCTGTTCTTTCTCCTCCAGTCAGCCGGAGTGCCTGCCTCCTGCCCTAAGGGCGCCACAGAACAGCGCTGGGGTGCTTGATGTCGCCGGCGTAACGCCTGCCGCTGCCAGGGGTGGGTTACGAGTGGGCGCTGTGCACGACTGCCATATTACGGAGGCCGGTGAAGCCCTGCCCCGGGCACATTTCTGGTCCTGGGACTGCGGCCCCACCGGGAAGGGTTCCCTTCAGGAGTGTGCTCAAACCCTACGTGTTCCTGTATTACGGGGGCGGAAGTCAGGAGTTGCATCCAGAGCAGTGGAAGCAATGGGAGAGGTACTGGTGGAACAGTGTGCAGCAGTGCCAGCTCTGCTGCTCATTCCAGGGCTTTTTATGGGATCAGGTTAGTCTTCAGTAGACTGAGGGGTTTTAATACTCTGTCCTCAAGAGACAGAGGAGAATCCAAGGGCGCTTTTTTGTTCAGCCCCCTGTGGCAGACTGCTCGGTGTGGTACCTGCTTAGTAAGTAAACCCATAACAATGAGCTAATTCACCTGCTCACAGAGTAGTATTTTTATTTCAGATTATTTTAAGAATTTCCAGTGTCTGTTCCAGCAGTGGAAATCCCAAGTAGTGCAGGATCTAGGCAGTAAATAAATCTTGGTTTCAGAACTAACTGCAGCATCTGACAGCTTATTTTATTTTTACTGTGACTTGAATTGAAGCCACTTGGGTTTTGGTGGTAGATATCACAGTTGTGACTTAACTGAGAATTACAGAGTTTCTACTCTGGTTGTACGTGGAGGACACGGAAGAGTAAAGGGTCTGGTAATCTCACCAGAGAAACAGCCGAGACTGGGAAACGGTAAATGCAAACTGCGGGGGCTTTCAAAATGGGAATCGCATGTGGAAGTGCAAGGAGGGAATAATGAGAATTTCTGTAAGGAAGAAACCTGGTTCTTGGGCCCAAAACTTGCACATTGCGAGCTCTTGTCAAAAAGGGGAGAAGCGCTAGCAGCATAGCTGGCTCCCATTCCAGGTACGGAAATTCTGGGTGCTCGCGCAGGTCAGCGCTGTGAAAGGAAGCCCGTGGAGGTCCCGGCGCCGAACGGCACGGCCCGGTAATGATCGCTGGTGTTCTGGGGCTGCGCGCATACGCCTGCTCTGATCTACCGGCCTGTGGTCTGAGCCAGTGTGTTGAACCTTACAGACGAACATTCTCGGTCTGATGCGTGCCTTTCCTGGGAAGATCACGTGTCGCTTCCACCTTACCCAGCAGAGGTCACAGATCTGTGAAGAACTCCAGCCACACGTTACAGGTAAATAGAACGGTCACGCGGAGGTGATTTCCAAAGTCTAAGTTGGATTACATCTTGGAGGATGAAGTTGCATGCGTAATTTAATAATTTCACGTTTAAAGATTCAAAATGAGCTGTGAGCTAAACCGAAATAACTTCACTGTACATAGTATGCTTGGGAGAAACGTCTTCCCTTTGCAGCTTTTATATTAATTTCTAGTAAACCTCCTCTCTGAATTCTAACGCCATACTGGTATTTCCCACTGCAAACTTTATCCCAAAAACTACCAAGCAAAGTAAATACCTGACTAGGTTTTGATTGGTGACGGATGAGCTGACTGCTCGGAAGAGATACTTCACCATGTTTCCATTTCTGTTGTATTTGTGTAAGAGATGCTTACCTTTTTTTTCTTTTTTTTCATCTGACTGTGGGATTTTTAGTTGTATGCAAGCCATGTTCCTCTTCAGTGACTAATACCCCATGCATTCCAACTGGAAGTACTGATTCCCAGAAGAACAAATGCTTCTGGAAGCCTCAAATCTTGATTCCTATTACCCTTAAACAGGCCTGGCATTTTTAAGAAAGGAGTGCTTGAAATGCCTCTAACCAGTCATTTTTGTGTAAATTACTTCATGATTAATGTTTCTGTTCTCACAGCTGCCTTTTTTCTTTGTCAGAGGGAAGAATATCTGAAAAGGATCTAGGAACACACGTATCCAAGGATACTTTATGGTACATCTGCGGTCCACCCCCGATGATAGAATCTATAGCCAAACTCCTTTCCAGCATTGGTGTTCCCAGGAACTCTGTTTTCTTTGAGAAATGGTGGTAGAGTGGCACCAAAAGAAAAGGTGTTGGTTGTTTCCAGTGTATTTGGATCAGCTGAAACACACAGAAAACAGACTTGGAATTCCTCAGAAGATTTTACTTGGTACATGAAGATGTCCTCAATCGTAAGGGTTCCTTTAGTTTAACACGCTTGTGACCCGGTGCTGCTGCTCTGGGGGAAGACGATGATTTTATATTAAAGACATTAACTGTTCTGGGGATTTTTCTTGATGGCTTGCTTACTGCTTTCTTAGGGGTGGCAGCGTATTTTCACTTCATACACTCATTTTGTTAGTCAGCGTCTCGCAGACTTCGAGCACCTGGCACAGCCGCTGTAGCGGATCCGTTGTGCAGCAAGGCCGGGTCAGCAGTAGTAAATAATGGTTCAGACTTCCGGACCTGCTGCGGGTGGTTGTGCTAAGGAGTCGCCACCCTGCCGTCCCCTGTTGTAGCTCATAAATCGGTGCTCTTAGGGAAGTAGAGTCGCAGTGTTGTGACTTCCTTCTCTTGCCACTTCTTGTTGAAAGAAAAAACCCTGAATCTCACGTGGTTGCTTGAAGTCAGTCAGCTGTGTTGACAGTAAAAGACGTTTTTCCGTGGTCGTATTCACACCCGAGCGTAAAATCCTGCCGTGTTAACAGCCTCCAGCAGAGCTGTGCAGTTACTCATGGGAACCCGCATCCCTGGCTGGTGCTGAGACAGCCTGCCCAGCCTGTGCTTGCAGGTGCCACGTCCTCCAAGGCAGCACTGGCCAGCAGCAGCCCAGACAGGACGTCTCTGTAACCCGCAGAGTTCTAGACGGCTCCGGGATGTACCAGTTCTGCTGGGGAAAAGCCCCTGCGAGTTTTCCCTTTTAAGGTAGGAGTGAGGCGTAAGGGCTGCAACCTGGGCCCAGCTTGAACGAAGCTGCTTCCCCTGACTTTCAGGAAAACTCGTGTCAATGTTGAGAATAACAAAAAGCCATAATGAGATGGTTAATTATCTGTATAGGCAGTTCAAGGCCTTAAGTGGTAGAGATTCCCACTGTACGTTTGAAGACCTCAGGACATTTACGTTATTAAAAATACGGAATTATTGAATTATTAAAAATGTTGGACAGATAAGGCCTCTCTTTGTTAGGGGCTCTTTTCCCGGAGTGAGATGTCTCAGGCAGCAGCCCAGTGGGTAACGCAGCAAGCTTCTTGCTGCCAGCGTCCCCCTGCTCTGCCTTAACCCCCATCACCGGGGCGCCAGCCTGCAGCAGTACTGCACGTGCTCGTTCAAGGATCGCGTGCCAGTGCTCGGACAGGTACAGAGGCCTCCAACCCAGCCGTAGCTCTCTCCCAAGAAATCATTTCGGCCTCCGTGTGCTGAGTTTAGCCTCTCGTCTTAGCCACTTTTGATGGGTCTGTGGTGTGTTTTACACCTTGTGAGATACCTACTGCCACTGCCCACCTTCACCTCCTCCTCAGCAGCCAGGGAGGCAGTCTCGCGAGGCAGCGCCAAGCCCTTGTGCTGAGTGCGCCACCAGAATGCAGCCCTTCGTGCTGCAGGCAGCGAGGGAATGAGACTGAAAGAATCCTCAAGCCTTTCTGCGAGAATGGTCCCTACTTGCTGCGGCTAACAGCGCGCAGGACCTGGGGAAACAGGCTGGTTTGGGTCCGGGCGAGGTGAGCGCTGCGCGAGGGACCCGACAGAGCTGCCTTTTGGGGACAGCACCACCACAGGGATTTGCCGCAGAGTTTTCAACTGGTGCCTGCAGCCTCATCGGCTCACGCTCCTGCGGCATTATCCGCACGCCGAAAGCACTCACCTCCTCAGCAGCCAGGGCAGAGCCAGGGGGGATGTCTCATCACGTTCCCTCCCGCTGACACGAGAGGAAGGTTCTTTCCGATACCCCCGTTTCAAGGCGTGGGTCCTTGTTTGTTCACTCAGAACGTAAATAGGACAGGGTGCTTGTCACAAAAAATAAATCCGAGGGGCTTTGTGTTCACGGAGATGGCAGTTGATGTGCCCGAGCGTGATGCTTGAAGGGAGCAGGGTTTTTTTCCTAGAAATGTGCAATACATTGCTGTCGGGAAGCACTAGTGCCCTAAAACACAAACCACAAGGTAGGCTCCCGCGGGCTTTAACAGTGTAATGATAAAAAAAAAAAGCCAAGCAGCCTGTAAATGTTCTTTTCCTTATGACTTTTAAGTGACTCACAAACTGGTTTACCCTTTTTTTTTCCCCTTAATGCACATGCTTTCTTCAGCCCAACTGACTTCTCGTTCGGAAACCGCTCCTCAGACTTGCGCCGAACTACCCATTTAACAAATGGCATTTCAAACCCCTTTGCTTCCGTCATCATCCTCTTTCCTTCTAACCCCTTTCTGTCAGCCCCTGTTACGCTCAGACCGAGCGCTGCAGGGCGAGGGCACGTCTCTCCGATTGTACGGGCTCTCCCGCCTGAAGAGCGCTAGCGAACGCACGCCGTGCCCGAAGAGGGGAGGAAAAAACCATCTCCTACCCTGCTGCCCCCAGGTACCAGCAGCCGCCACTCCTGCCACCGAGCTCCGGCTTGCCTCGTGCGCTGGCCCCACCGGAGGGCACGGGACGCCCGCGGCGGCAATAGAACGTTGTTATCAGCCCCATCCTCCGCAGCCCTTCCCTGCTGAAGCTTTTGGAAGCCTCTTCTCTCTCGGGTTCTAGAGTAACGGCAAGCAGTGCAAGGGAAAGCCTTTCTCCCCCGCCAGCGCGTAGGTGAGCTACTGATTAGCCTCAACTGCCGCTTCTGCAAGGGCGGCCTTTCAGTGCACATCCCAGCAAACTGCCTGGGAGATGTAGAAATGGCATCGGCGACCCTTACGGCACAGGGCCCTCCGTGATGCCAGCCAGCATTCCTCATGCTCTTTGAGAGGCATTTATCAGCAAAAGATTAGGATTTGCTCTTCTTGTACTTTTCAGTTCTGGGAGGGTGAAGTTCCTGCAGGAAAAGCTGATGGTGCTTTATTTCTGCCCTGTAATTGGCTCCCTGAGGCAACTACAAAGGGGAAGCAGCATATCCAGATGCAGAGCCCTTGCTCTGCTCACCTCGGAAACTGGCTGAGAGGAGCCAAACAAGGGGAGAAGTGTATTGTTCTGCTATATTAGCTTCATTTGCATGCGGCCCTGAAAGCCGCTGTTTCAGTTACACTGTTCTCCAATGCACGGATGCAATAGGCCAAGGAACAATGCAAGATGGAGTGCCTGTCAGATCCTTTGTGCCTTTAGCCCCTCCTAAACTCTACGTAAACTATTTGCATTACCATCTTCAATATTTTGGACTTTCTACCCATCTCAGTTCTACCCCTCCAGCCCTGCCCCTTGCTTTTGTTTCAATATGAAACCCCTTTTCCATCCTTCACTTAATTCAGCCACTCTTGCCATCTTCATCCAGCCTCCGACATCTCTTTGAGCTGGGTTTCCTCCTCTGAACTCACAGAATGGTTTGGGTTGGAAAGGACCTTAAAGATCATCTCGTTCCAACCCCCCTGCCATGGGCAGGGACACCTTCCACTAGACCAGGTTTCTCAAAGCCTCGTCCAGCCTGGCCTTGACAGCCAGAACTCATCCCATTGAACAACTGCTCTCTTGGCCAGAGGGCCACTGCCCTGACCGCCCGCGTGACTCCTCCCCCAGAGAGAGGAGACTCTGGGGACTGACCTACACACGGGAGTTGTGTTGGTCTAACAAGGCCGCTTTCGCGTTACAGTACGCCAAGGCGCTACTTGCGTGTGCTTCGTTGTGGCCAGCCCACATGGGTAACGCGGGGTAGCGCAACCCATCGCCTCCTTCGCTCGGCGTGCAGGCATTACGCGTCAGTGTCCCGCTCCCGTACAAGGGGCAGATGTAAGAGGAGTTTGCATCCTGGCTGGAAGATTCTGCCTACTTTGGGGTAAAAAAAGGGGTTGGGTTTAAGCCCCTGGCTCTCCTTGGGAAGGGAAAGGGCCGGGCTTCTCACTCCTCCTTCTGCAGGGGGTGACCGACCCTGCCATGGAGCTGGCGGCTCAGAGCAGCCGTGGCTTCTGCGGGTGAGCAGTCGGTACGGAGCCCTGCCTTCGCCCCCGCTGGAGAGGGAGGCCGTACCCTGCAGCAAACTGCACTTCAGCTCCCCCCCACACAGGCTCTCCACTCCTGACGTGCTTCAACTCACTGGTCGGGGATTTCTGATACCAGAGTCAAGCTCTGGCCTGGCCGTTTCTTTTCTCCATGCAGGCCCCAAACAAGGTGACGGCGACTTGCTTCTGCTTCCTTGGCCGTGCCAGGGCTCTTGCTTTCCAAGGCCAAACAGCAAAGGCGGCTGAGACGCCCCACGCCCGTACCGGCTGGGGACTGCGGAGCCTTGCTGCCGTACCCTGAGCCCGCCTTCCCCGGCCCTCGTCACGGCTGCATCGACGCCGGGATTGAAGGTCTCTGGGCTTACCCGAGACGGGCATGGTGAGGGCACGCGTGCAGCTCAGGCAGCCGAGCTAATGCAAAGGAATTCAAAGTCACAAGTTGGAATCGATTACGTGACTGTAAAACCAAAACCCTCTGCCCTTTTTAAACTGAAAACACATGAATGTTCTCTTCCCAACCCTAAACCTTGCCAGTGTTTACAGGAATGACGTGTTCAATCGAGCTTTCACCCCAACACGCGTTAACTTCCTCACAGGCCCTTGTGCATGTGGTTGGGCTGACGACGGAAAGCCAGGCCGCGCTTCTCCAGCACCGGTTAACTACAGCTCATTCAGCTGCCAGGGGCTTCCCTTCATCACCACCAGGAGACCCCGAGCTCCTCCAGGGACACACGACTGGCAGCTGGGCAAGGACCACAAATAAGAGAACTCCTCCTGACTTTTATTTCTCTTCAGTTTTGTGAGCAGCTGGGATGCAGGTAAACGAGAGCAAACGGCAACCCAACAGACACTTTCTGCTCAGAAGTGTTGAGGGAGTTTTGTCTACCGCAACACTTCCCCCTAGTAAAATGTTCGTTAAATACAGTGTCTTTTTAAACAAGGTTGATAAAAAGCTAGTCCTTAAAACAGGCACCATCAGTAGAAGGATCCTACGCTCATCAAATGGGC